CCTTTCCACCGAATCCAAAGCAGCCAAATATTTCTTGGCAGAGCCGTCCCAGAGGTGGCAGCAGTATTCCATGCAAGGTCGGATCTGTGCTTTATATAACTGCAGCCTTTGCTTATTGGAGAAGTACTGCCTTGCCCTCGAGAGGATACCAAGTTTTTTGGCAGCAGTTTTCGCTATGGATTCGATGTACTCGCCAAAGTTCAACTTGCTGGACATTTCGATACCCAAAAGTTGGAGTCGCTCGGTGATTTTAACAGGCACACCTCGGAATGTTGGAGCCAGACGAAATGGACTTCGTTTGGCGGAGAACAGACACGCCTGTGTTTTGGACGCGTTAAATTGGACCAGATTGGCATCGCCCCAATCAGAGACATCCTGAAGGGCCAAATTTAAGCGTTCGATAAGGGACTCACGACAAGACTCGACCTCACCGTGGAAGCTCTTGCTCTTCATCTGGTATACAAAAGGGAATATGAAAATATTGATGAACTGCGGACAAAGCTGACTGAAGCACAAAACCATATTAGAATGCAAGAAGCTTTTGTAAATTTACGAATAATTGTTTTGCGTCGTTGTTGATTGTGCATTCAGGTAAGCGGTGGACATTTTGAACATTTACTTTAAATTAAATCATTACACCCTTTTTTGCTCTCTTTCTCTCTCTCAGACACACACACACACACACACACGCATGCGCACACACACACACACGCACGCGCGCGCGCGCATACACACACACACACACACAAACTCTTTCCCTTTCTCTCACACTCTAATAGGTAGGTATATCTAATTTAATCGTAAAGTAACAATCACCACTGTGTTCTAGTGGTAAGACTACCTATTTAGGACAGCCAATTCCTCTGTGGTTTAGGGTTCCGGGTGAAGCTCGCTGATCATCCATCAGTTTCCAACTTTCCATCAGGTCAGATGAAGGGCAAGAGCTTCCTCGTTGTGGATAAAAAATGTTCTGTTCAGTTATTGTCTTTTAAACGTGTTCTACGTAACGTATAGTGGATTGCAAACATTAGTTAGTCCTAAGAAAGTCAAAAACATGTAACGGAATCTGCGACTTACTACTTTAGTAGAGCGATTACAGAAAATAATGGCCTATTAATGATAGATCGCCCGGAGTCCTGCCAGCAGGACTTAAAGTACTTCCGGTAGGACGCAAAATTAAAAGATCACAGTTTCGTAAGTATACATTGTACAAATTTCAAATTTACACGAAAAAATAGAGTGTTTCTCTCTCTTTCACCCAATAGTGCCCAAGATCGAAAAACGCGACTAACCGTTAGTCGGAGCCCGATGGCGCACGAGTATACACGGGGGCAGCGCGTTCGCGCTCGCGCGACACATTTTGACGCGCCGGGCGTGGAGTCGGCAACATTTTGGCGATAATATTATAATGAATGTGAAGTATTCCAGCCTAATCAAACATTTATAATTTATTTCTTGTTTTTGTTTTTAATTTGTAGTGTATTTGTAAGTGATAGGTGTAATTTCTAATACAAAGTGACGTACCAAAGTAATTAATTTAAAGTTCCTTATTATAGTTCCTATTAGTTAAGTTGAAAGAAGATAAACAAGTTTATAATATATTAAGAAAAGTAAAATACTGGTTAAACAAAATGATTCTACGACATGACTTTTTATTTAATAAACACTAACCAAGTGTTTACTACTTCTGGTGAGGATGAGTTCAAATTTGAAGGTCACCGTACTGCTGGAAGGACCAGCAAGCAAACACGTACAAATTGCGTACTGCGGGCAGGACTTGCGATAATCTTCTGGCAGGACGTTTAGAACAAAAGACCAGTCCTTCCAGAAGAGCAGAGTCGATACAGGCGTGTAAGAATAGGAGACAACTCCGGCGCACAACTACGCAGGACTATCGCTGGAATTCCGTCAGGTCCACTAGCTTTATTTACGTCAAGAGAACGTAAGACATTTAAAACCTCTTTGTGCCGTATGCGGACCTCACGCATGGTGGTGGAGGCAGGGGGTAATGAGGGTGGTATTTTGCCTGCAACGTCAAGACGGGAGTTATCAGCGAACAGGGTGGCAAAAAGATTCGCCTTTTCCTCAGCAGAGTGAGCCAGTGAGCCGTCGGGTTTCAGCAGTGGTGGCAGGCTGGGGCGACAGAAGTTGGATTGGATGGCCTTGGCAAGGGACCAAAATGGTTTAGACCCGGCTGGGTAAGAAGCAAGTTTTGAGCCAATGCGTCCAATATGGTCGTAGCGAGCCCTGCGTAGTGTTCTTTTGCAAGACTTGGAGGCCTGGTTGTAGGCTTTCTTCAGATTGCGAGTGTCTGGTGAGCCGCGCGTTCGAGCATCTGCCCATGCCAGAAACGCCGACTGCTTACACGCTTCAGCATGACGGCAATCAGCATTGAACCAAGGGCGAGCTTTGCTACCTGAGGCAATGTCTGAGTAGGGAACAAAGAATTCCATACCCTGACGTATAACCTCGGTGATGGCNGTAGCATTAACCCCCAATATAGCATATTACCAATGTTGCATTGTTTAGAGGCTCTGACTGACCTGAAAGTGAGACCTTCTATCACTTTTCCTAAACTAAACTTAAATTAAATAAAAATAAAACGTATTTTTTGCTGTTTGAGTATAAACCCACTTACTTCAGCATTTCATTTAATTTGAAATTAGATTGATTTTTCCTATATTTAGCCTCTAACCTCATTGTTAAGGACAAACAGCAATTTAAACTCTTGTCGATTGTATCTTTAAGGAAAATCTGCGGCTATGATAAGTTATTAAGATGCCTAGTTAAGTAATCGAAGTACGCTGTGGTTTGCAAAGGAACCTAGTTCATGGGCATGTGCAAAAATTAGGGAGGCGGTGTTTTACTATATCAATCAATGGATAAACTAATGCTTGCCAATGCTCACGGAATTTTCTACAAACCTATTTGTATGTAAGTACTTACATTTTAGGTTAGTTGGAAATTCAGTGAGCTCGACTGTAACAATAAGCCTGCGGTACCTACCTGTCTATATTAAGTTAAGTACCAGTATGAAATATTTTTCTATGAACAAAATCAGTATTTCTCGCTAGAAATCTATTATTTTCCAAAGGAAGTAAGAAGAATATATTTTTTTTATAAGTATAGGTAATGATTTTCATGTTATGATGAAATCTTTTTCATAATATTCTTATCACGAAAGATTGAAGGTTGTTCATTTTCTCTCGGCTATAATTTACTAATTCAATCAGCGAGTTACTCAGCTATGCATCGAGTTGGCACTAGACCTTAGTGACTAGACTTAAACTTAGATTTTCGCTCTCGGAAGGTAATGGCAGGAAAATCCTAATGTTATTTATTAAGGTAAACCTGTTCGGTCGCATGCCACCGCGAACCTTAACAACCGGGTGGAAAAATCATAATAAACAAGACTCAATTACTATATTCATAAGTTGCATAATAAGTTAGGCAATGAATAAGTTATGTTTCTTAATATTTACGGTGTTAAAGTTATTCCGATAAATCGGACAATTATTTACAGCAACATTTCTTCATTCATTTTTCAGTGGAATAACGTCGAGATATGTTTTAGATCTGAAATCATCACGATTTAAAAATGTATGCACATTACATGCTACAAACAGACTTACTTTTCACCAAGTTTCAAGTATTAAATAATATACTAGCAGCTACTCATGGCTTCGCATTTTCAGGATTGTACCTACCGGGTATTTATTTATCTTACTTTTGGCTCACTATGTTTTATATTATGATAGGCAGTGTATTTTACTCCGTTCCATAAATAACACCTGTTGTAGCGTATCTGATGCGCTTAAGACGGTGTTTAGCATAATAAAATCCACGACCAAACTCTTTAAATTTGGTTATCTCTTCACCTTCTACAAAAAACCCAATTTGAATTTATTTTCATAGTACCTTATGTACTTACCTACTGTTCTTATAATTCCTGGGTGTACCTTAACTGAAAAATGAAAATAAGTTAAAATGAAAATAACAATAAAGTACAATTTTAAAATGTGCTCAGTCACTTTCCGGAGAAGATAAGGTTAGTGTTTTGCGAGTCATGCCAGTACATCAATTGCCTTGGATCTTGAAACATTTGTAGATATACAGTTAAAACATAGCTGAACTTGAGGATTATATCTTTTATAAACCTATTAAAGTCGTTATCGGGCCGATACATTTTTTATTTTATCGAGTCGGTTTCAAAAACAAAATTTATTTGTAGCTACTTTTAGACACTGAATGCAATATTTTTTTGGAGTTTGAACTTCGCACTAGAATGTGGAAAGCTGAAGGGCTTCATTCCTTATTGGAACAATATTATCTTTGTAGGAACTGTCCAATTAATTCGATTATCACAAATTCATAATAATCACTCACTTGACTGACATTAATTTGTTTTTCTTACATCAAGCAAGGCCCCTTCATTATCCATTAAATAGATCGGAAATAAATATCAATAAGTATTACATAGTGGTAAAACATAATGTTGCTCGTAATAATATGTCCATTAATATGACCTTATGTAATATTATATTCGGAGATATCGTATACTATATAAAAATATACCTTTAGAATAGAAGAACGTAATTAAATCAGAAACCAAGATAATTGTCTTAGAGTGGATTTGGTGGACCGACGATCTGGTGAAGGTCGCAGAAAGTATCTGGATACAGCTGCGATACTAGATTTTTTTTTGCTGTAGAACTATCCAAACGATGAAGAATGATAAAGATGATCGCGACAGGAGGCTGACTACTGCCATTATTTATTAAGAAAGTGAGATCTTTGTAATTTTATTGCTTTTTATGTAAAATTAAAAACTGAAAATTAATGTGAAACATTTATTATATTATGGTCGATAACAAATAAATTAAGAGACATTAAATTAGGTACATATTTTATAAGTAAACAATAATATACTTAAATAAAAAATTGTAACAGCCATCTTACAATTAATATTATAAAATTATTTCTTAAATTTTAATAACAATTTGTACTACTACGTAATTGTAAATTAAAATGGAAAATTTTAACTACAGAATAGACCTAATTTCGATTAAAATGTGATTGTATTGTAATTTTGACGTGATAAAGTAATTTTCGATCTTTCATAAAGAGCGCTCTTTTCTTCGCCCTATTTACGCCTGTCAAATAAAACTTGAAATCCGTCACGCTGTGTTATACCGTATACCTACCTACATATCGTTCGATTTCCTGATAAGTATTTTCGTTGGCCGGAAAATGTGCTTCTACTATCTTTAGACTTACATGCTGTCATCATGCATGATGTGGAATCGTGTGTTTAATCCTGGCGTTTTTAATCTTGTATCATCCAAACGTGTCGGAGAACTAAACACTTTTAAATCAAACAATTTTAAATTGGGGGACAGGTTAATGCGATGAGTCTCAATATCAGACGGACATTCAACAATTCGTAGAAAGTTTAAGCCTGTTCTTATACTTCATAATTCTAATACTTCAAAAACATGCCTCAAGCTTATATGTATAGACTTCAATAATTGAAACTAATTGGATTCCCGAACGAAGTACCATAGGTATTATGTAGCAAGTACGGTCGATAGCACATCAGATTTGACATTCAGTTGCAAAATCGCATCCACAAATGATATTTTATAATTTATCAATTATTTCACTCTTTAAGTAGCTTGACGTGCTCTCGTCCCTGTTTTGTGGCAGAAGTTACAGACATCGATATTCATCATCAATTCAAAGTCTATGAAAAGTTGACAATTTGGTCCCATAGAAACATGGCAAATGCATAATCATGAGCAGATTATGGCAATTGTTTTTTTAAATTTAACATAATAATCTCGTACCTACAGCGTTTAATTTTGCGATATTTTGGGAGACGTTTCGTGATTTTGCTGTTACTTTTTCTATTGATGTTAAAGTAGTTTTTGCTATTTTAAATCATAAGAAACTACACATTACGATTATACCCAATAATATTAACATTATAATTAGCTGGTTAACACTCGTTTAAGACAATTTCATAACATCGTAAAATAGCAGAGGTAGGAAATTCAAAGCTTGCGGGGATTATTATTGTATCAAAGTTTCATCATTAAATGTTTCGGAATTTCATTCCACTGAAAACAAAAGCATTGCATTCAGTGTAATTCTATAACATGCCAATTAAATAACGTATCAGATATCACAAAACTACATAATTATATTTATGATAATTTTGTATTGTTTTTACAGATTACACATAAGTATGCTTTTTAATTTCATTCGTATAAGATTCGTTCTCTACAACTCATTAATTTTAACTTTGAAGTAAAAATGATATTCCTTTTTTATTTTCAAACACGGCAAGATACAAAAGTATTACTTATTTTAAAAATAATTACTATCCAATGTCTAATTAAAGTAATTTTAGTACTCTCAATAGCACCTATTGTGTGTGCCTACTATTAATTTCAGAAGATTTTGTTCATTCAATTACACGTTGTAATTATTATTTTAGGTGCCACCAACATTGCGTATCACATAGGTTATCTAATTTAACATATTTTATAGTTTAATAATTGTGTACAAATGCTTAAGTCAGGAGACTTAATACGTCTGGAAACTGAAAATATGCAAAACAGCATTAACATTTTATCAGTTTATTCATTAGTGAGTAAAAACAAAGCCTTAACAAGTTGTTATTTTTTATCGTCCAGTTCAGACGGGAGGGCTTGTGACAGTGGCACGATTTTATGGACACTTCGATTGACACTCCAGGCTTTATGGCTCTCATAGTAAACACTTTTAGCATGTACTCGTAGGTTATATGTACAACTTTGACCCGTGTTCAATTCCTTATAACTTAAAAACTTGTTTCGTAATAAAATAACTTTAATTAACTTAACAACAAAAGAAGAGAAGCCATGATTTCCCATTAAAGACCGAAAATTAGTAGGTTGAGTGAGTCACTACAAAGAGAATTTTCGAGGATATTTCTGTTCTGTTCTTTGTATGAAAATAAGTGAAACCTACAATTTCCCGCAACGAGTTTGGGGCTTGTTTCCGAATATTACAACATGACCTTGTGACTTATTTTCATTGTTATTGGCGTTGACAAGTGATCGCGAAAAGTTAAAAGACTTCGGCGTAAATATAGTACTTCGGCGTAGTAGAAGTAACAAGTATGACGAAATAAATTATCTCGTTTCTCATCTAATGGATCATTTATCCGCCCAAACTCGTTAATAGCGTGTCACTTGCAGACAAATCTCTCAGATAACAGTTAATATCTCTATTATTTTTATCGTGTTTAGATATTTGGACGACATATTGGACCGTGATTTTCCTGAGTAAAATATAGAAAAATTGGTTGGGAATCCCAATGTTTTGTACATAATTAATCTTATAATATATTATCTAAACACCAAGATATTATCTAATACTCGTAAGATCGATTATGCATCAAACTTTGACTTGATAGGGAATTTAAAATGCATATTGCAATGTGCTTTTCGATGAAGGTATGACAGAGGTGAAATACTGTTAGGTAAAAAAATATTTTATACTTATAAACTTAACCCCACGATCAACATGTTGTGGTCAGAGTTTTACAAAAATAGAATATTTTGATAAAATTAGATCCATAGTAATAAATTTATAATTTTAGTAACTAAGCTAGTAAAGTTTATCAAATATAGAAGCCAATTTCGCCATATCAGGCAAGATATCTGTAGCATAAAGGGTTAGGCGCATGCACTCAACCAGTTACGCCCGTATCCACAAACGATGCTTGCTTAAGTGAAGCAGCAAATCGAACGCACAGTGTTGAATAGAGTTCTGTGATTGGTTCGTTCGTGTGTCTCATACTGTGAGACCTCATAGTAATTTTTGTGAATACGAGCGTTAGATTCGAGTATCGATGTGAGCGCGTCGTTTAAAATTTAGTTTTATGTAATATTCTCACACACTGAAAAGATTCCTTTATTAAAAATAATAGACGATATCCAGCGTCATATTAATAGGAAGAGTAATTTAGTGTGCGTATTCTTCAGGGAAAGGGTCCGGTTCCTCGGACTCGCCGAAGGTTCCATCGCCGGTCTTCTCAGCTCGGTTGATGATCATGGCAGAGGTGGCGGCTTTTACTGAAAGTAATAGTCAAATATTATCATTTGATTTACGCTACAAATAATTAATATTTAATATTTTAAACTATTATGTTGCATTTTTACTATAAAATTATCACTTCACGGGATATTGTTGCAATAAATCCCGTGAAGTGATAATTTTATAATTAATATTTTTCTTTTTGAATTATGAATTCGTCGATTAAATTCATAGAATACCTACAAATCAGTTTCAAATCCATGAACCAGTTACAGCTGTCTAGCTGCACACAACGATTACCTAAATAAGTAATTAAACATTACTAGCTGTGCCCCGCAGTGTTACCAGCGGTAAAACGTAGCCTACATGTTAATCCAGGGTGTCAGCTAACTCCACACCAGATTAAAATTGCACTGGCCGTTTAGAAGTGAAGAAGTAACAAACATAGGTACACACTCACAAACTTTCGCCTATGGATACTGACAATCGTTATATAAGTATACTATAATGACGTAGTCCTTTGATCTACAACTGTGTTAATCGAGGAAATGTAGCACGATACAAACTCAACTAAGTTTCAATTAAATTTAACCGTAACTTCTTAGTAATGTATGTACTTATTATTCCGTTTGTATGTAAATACACTAGAATCAAACCTTCTAAGGTGTTTCTTGTGCAATAACCATAACAACGTCGGTCGGTTCTCATTGATTCTCTACTCTTTAACTCAATTTCAATATTTTCTGCTCTACTGTCCTTGTTACTCAAGGCATCTCGCTATCTCCCGTGAGCGGGATAAAAAAATATGAACAAAATTGGGCAGTATATTAGTTATGTTTCACATATTTTTTTTTTCATTTGACTCGATCCTCAACGAGCTTCTCATAAATGACCAAAATATGGCCAACTGCAAATGAGATCTTAACTTTACAAAGATGTAGGTACCTATCAGAATAATACTCCTGAACAATACAATCGCCAACAATCTTCAGTTAATGTTTTGGTTTTAACATAGAGAAATGAGGAGATCCGCAGGAGAACCAAAGCGACCGATATAGCTCTCAGAATTGCTAAAATCAAGCGGCAGTGGGCGGGACACATAGCTCAAAGAAACGATGGCCGTTGGAAAAGAAAGTTCTCGAGTGCGACCACAGGCCGGAAGACGTAGCGTGGGCAGGCCCCCCACTAGGTGGACCGACGATCTGTTGAAGGTCGCGGGAAGAGCCTGGAAGCGGGCAGCGCAGGACCGATAGTTATGGGAATCCTTGGGGGAGGCCTTTGTCCAAAAGTGGACGTCATTTGGCTCAAACGAACGAATGAACGAATATATTAATCATCATAAACTGTACTTACAATCGTATGCCCATCCAATCTTGGCGAAGGCGTCGATGAAGTTGGTTGAGATATTGATGCGGCCCAGTTCTGAGGTGCGGTAGTCCCACGGGAACACGTGGTGGTAGTTGTGCCAGCCCTCGCCCAGGGCTGCCAGGCTCACGGCTGAGTTCTCTACTGACTTGATGAACCTGGTGAATCAGAAAAATTAAAAATTAGCTTATTTTCTTTAAGTTAGCTTTAAAAGAGCACTGTTACCAACCCTACTACTGTTTCGGGACAAATATGGACCAGTGCTATTAAGAAACAGTGCAAGAAACTCCGTCACTATAGTAGTAATAGCACAGAATAATAATAAGTACTACGTACAGAAGTTTTACTTCGCGAAGGTATTTAAAAAAATGTATGCTCAATGTCATTAACAATATGGTGTAATTTAGCCTGTCTCAAGAGTCAAGCACCATTTTGTTGACAAACGTCAGTGATCGGCACTGCGCCGAAGCTATAGGGCTGACTTCGGTAAAATGATGTGACGTAAGGTGCCAAACTGCGGAAAATGGCGGAGGAAATACATGATTTAGCATGAATAATATTAACTACTTATTTACCTCTCAGTGTCTTGAGGCAACTTAAAAAAGTACATTCTGTGTTTTTATTATTATTTAGGCAGTTAAATACTGCACAGTATTTGGTACACCATTTTCTTTATTTTCTTCCATCATACACAAGAATACGCGTGCGTGAGTCAATGTTCGCTCGTATGTGAGGCCTTGTCGAATAGTATCCTGTAGGTGGGCCATCGTGCGTGTTTTGTTTTCGATGTAAACTCGCGGAGATGAACAGGCCTGTAAGTAGTCACAGTAGCTTAGGGCCACCTCACTAATAAAAGTTACACGCGTGTTGAATAGGTACTTGTTTAAAATTACATACTAACTTCAAATAGGTTCCCAATTTTAATACTTAGCTAACTAAAGTCTAGGTGATTTGAAGGAAACCCAATTTTCGTTAATACCTACATTTCAAAATATTTTTCAGTATCAATCAAGTAAAAATAATAATAAGTTCATTTCATAATATCAATTTCCAATGAATTTTTTTTGTAGTTGTAAAAAGCTTTAGAAATAAGATAAAAGACTTAGGCTGGGTTGCACCATCTTACTTTAACTTTGACAAACGTCAAAAATCTGTCAATCTCCATACAAAAAACGCCAGTTATCGTTATAGTTACTCGTACGGTCAAAGTTAGGTGGTGCAACTCAGCCTTAAGATAGACGTCAAACCCGGGCTCGACGTTCAACTTCAACCGAAAACTAAATAATGTAAACATTTAGGCCCAGAACAGACGGTGAAACGCAACTTCAACGAAACTGCAACTGCTAGTTACTTTTGAGTTGCATCTAAGTTTGAAAGACCACACATGACGCTACCAGTTTGAAACTTTCAGTTTCAGTTTCATTCATCAGAATCATCAGAAAGTTGCAGTTTCGTTGCTGTTGCGTTTCACCGTGTGTTCTGGGCCTTACTTATGAATACAGGTATTATGAATTCATGAATCAGTATTTCGAAGTTAATTACTGAACGGATTTCGGAATTTAATATAAGATCTGTCGATATTACCTAATATTGACCTAGGTATTTTGAAGGTAACGAGAGTTCACGAAAGTTCTCGGGCAATAGTAGTTTAGCAATAGAAATTAGTACGGAGAAGTAGAGAACTATGGTTATGCTTCGTTCGATAGAGGAACTCGAAACCAATTGGAGCGAGTTAGGTAGATCGTTTCTAAATCTAAATATACAGGGTGTTAGGTAAATGGGTATATGAGCCGACACTAACCCATGTTAACATATGCATATAAATGGTATGGTGAAGTCAGTCAGTACAGCGCTATAGAAATTAGTGGTGGCGCGACCAGCGTGGCGACGCAACCAGTAACATTCTGCGCACGCGTCCGAGTTGGTTGCGCGCCGCCAAATTGGTTGCGCAACCAAACGGACAGTACCAGGTGAGTAACTCTATATAGAGCTGTAGTGTGTTGGTAGCGGCGACTGGTTGCGCCGCCATGGTGTCCCGGTGAAGTATAGCCCTAATACTTTAAGTAACTTTAATTTAAAGATTTATTCACACAAAATTATTAACATAATAATCATTTATTCCACAAAAGAGATTCAATCAACTCGGTTCATTTGATTTTTAAGAAAGTGTTTTACTATACGGCTAAGTATTTTTTTGCTTCGATACGAGAAGTACGGACGATGAGTATATCAAGTTAAACATTGTTACATCTTACGTCATTTTAATTGCAGCAATTATGCAACAGAATTTATAGTTTAATTTGCTGGTGACTGTAAAAACTAAGAAGATTTATGTTTATTACTGATAAGGCACAAAGAATTATGGCAATTGTGTTACCTGTCATACGGCTTGTTTCCCCATAAATGGGCGAAGCTGTTGACGCAATAGGCGATGTTCAGAGTGATGGTGAATCGGAGTACGAAGCTGATGACGAAACTGTTCACCAGGGTCTCTTCCCAGAAGTGCCACGGGATCCAAACTGGTAAAGCTATGTTGAGTAATGCGAACATTGGAATGAAGAATCTGAAACAAGAATATAATTTGATGAGTACCCCTTAAAAATAATATGAAACTTTTATTTCTATGTAAAAGTCTTCTATAGAGTCCTAAATTATGTCGCAATTACCGATGGGGCGGAAAGACAGTTTACTCCACAGTAAAAAAAAATTCCCGAACATGCCTTAAATTCAGGGAATTCTTTTTTATTAAGGGTGTTTTATAGTTGGTTATAACGAGTAATGAACATAGATTAGACACATCTTACGCTTCAAATATTAATGATAGTCAAATTGTTATCATCATTAAGTAATCTGGATTTTGCTGCTCCAGATCATTAAGTAATTATTATACCATGTTGACAGAGTGTGATGTAATGTAGCTGCAATAAAGAACCTTTGCTGTATAATTCATGTACAATAGGTATGTGCGGCTCTTATCATAGTGTAATTATTTGGTATTTGTGTATGACAATCTAGTTAGTATCGTACAGTAAAAACGCCTAAATTATACGCCTAATTTTCAGATTCAAAATCTTAATTCAAGATCTTATTAAGAGCTACATAGACGTAGCTAATGTACCTAAATAATGGCGAAATATAAGAAGCTAGCTTATTGCCGAAAAAAATAGAAACTTTTTAGGCCTCCAGCTCGCTTAAGCAAGTATATTACAATGTCTTATCTTTACATGCCTGATAATATGTTTAGCTAAATCCAATATGAGACATCTTACCTCATACGAGGCTTTCTGTGATCTGAAGACATTGAAATCGAAGTCTTTGTGCGTGTGTCTATGTCATATAAAATGAACGTTCACAGTTCAAAGCTCTCACTTCAGGGATCTTTTATTGCAAATTATTGCGAGATTTTATTATATTAGACTATTCCTGCGATGTCATGATTTATGTATCTACCTAAGTTTTTAATCGCGTTTCACGTTGTGAAATAAAATGTCTTCTAAAACACTGTTTATTTATAACCAAATGTTTTATTGATCGATCATTTAATAATAGTAAAACATTATGAACATCTGCAGCTCTCTACTGCGCTTTAATACAAAATGGTGTATTTTTTATATGCTTTTAGTTTATTTATAACTTAAAACAAAAAAACTTACATAAAGTGTGATAAGGATTTCAGTTTTAGAGATCATCTCTTAAATATTAGAGACAAGTATTCAAAGAAAAACAGTATCACTACGAATTTTAATACAAGATTTATGATGATATATTTTCTTTTTCATGTAGAGAAAGCTAATAATGTTAGCTACCAGAATCCTGTGTAAGAAAATGTCAATCAGATAAAAAAGGCTTATAATACTTTGTGCTACAATTTTTATACTATTCAGACTAATATTAGTATTAGGATGAAAAGAAAGACGCGAAAGTCAGACAGTAAAAGTCATACTATTTCCACAGTAGGGAAGGTTTTTATACAAGTAAAAAAATAGGCAATAACTAGATTACACATATTATATTACTGGCTTGGTACAAAAGTGTTAGCAAAATTGGATTGGATTTTAATTCATCGAAATCAAAGGAATTTTCAAGGTATTTGTAAATGTGTAGGTATGTCCACAGGAAAAATGAACTTTTGGCCTGACCATCATTTTTCATCAAGTAAGATGCTGGCCAAGAGCTTCCCCGTTTTGTTAAAACACCCACTTTTCCACAGTATCTCTACTTACTACTGCACTTACTTACTCGTATAAATCAAGAAAACACTTACATTTTCTGCAGTCTCACAACGGGATCTGCCATCAGATCCTGGGAGGTCTCCTTCAGCGCTATCCGGCGGTTCTCAACAGCGGGGTGGGGGGTTAGCACCAGCCACCCCACGTGGGCGAACCAGAACCCTCGCCGGATGTCGTGGGGGTCCGCCACGGTCTCGGAATACTTGTGGTGCACGCGGTGGTCTAGCGCCCATGTGTAGATGTCCCTCTGCGAAGAAAAGGGGGTCAATAAATCGATGTATTTTATTCTAAGTCCATATTACAAAATGGGGCCCAAAACTCAGTTCTGTTTCATTTGTGAAATTTCCATATTAGACCAGTCACACGGGAAATCTATGACTGAAATTGAATCGAGTTTCGAGAGTTGTTACATAATACGGGCCACAATGAAAAATTTTCGGAGTTTTTACGCGCAGAGCGTTTCGTACACTTTCATCGTATTACATGATTCCTACATAATTATTGTATGTATGGCCAGGGGGGTCTCAAAACATTGTTATAAAATAAGTCCTGTTGTCAATCCTTGGCTTAGGAGCGACATCAGTACTGCACTGATAGTATAAGTAGGTATGTAGTTTGTGTAGCTTGTATTGTCTAACTCGTAAGTTTTAACTTACAATGATGATCATGGAATTTGGCATGCTAAGCTAATCCGTACCTACTTTAATCTAGCATTTAAACAACATACTTACATAGTTTTCTCAATGTCTATTAAATTTTAATAAGGGTCCGTTAACCCTTTTTGATGTCACCTAACTTTACTGGATAAATACACGACATCGAGTCGGTGGAGAGCCAAGGAAATAAGTGGACATCAAGGGGTTTATTTACGTACATATTCAATAAGCGTATTTTTCAATCGAGTGATAGTAAACATACCCTTCTGATGCGATATGTTGAAATGAAAATGTGGATACAGAATATCTATAGGTAGATATTGGTAAGATTTTATTTTCTCTGCGTAGCGGTTGAATACAGTTTGAATAGTTATAAATATACGAATTCATACTTTTTAAATCTCTTATTTAATAAAGAGAACATTTTATAAGGGTAGGTACTGTCGAATTTAGCTTAGTGCGACGCGATGTTGAGAAAAGAAGGATGAAGATGAAGAATGAACCTGATCAATGACAATGTGAGAATTTTTTTTTTTACAAAGTTTCATCAACAGATTTGTGTGCATGTTTTCAAGTTCACAGCTAACTATACTGTTTACAGTTGGCCGTCACCATGCGAGGGGTTAACGCGGCAATTGACTCCAGTTGCCGGACGAGGTCGGGCTCTACATTTGGTTGCGAGTTGCGACATCTTTTGAGACTGTGGCTGGAAATTAAATATTGATTTGCATACGCAGCGGTAATTTATTTATGTAATTTTGAAATGATAATTTTAGTCAATATATGTATAATTTGTTATTAAATCTATAAAATTTAATTATATTGTATCTTACCGGTTCGATTCACGACCATCAGAGTCCAAACAATAAACTTTATGACATGCGTTTGCATTTAATAATGGGAGTTTGCATCGTCTGTCTACATTTTGTTTCGACAAATAAAGTAGAGTCGCCATGTATTTTTTTTATCAATTTATTTAAAGCGTGAATCATTTTACAATAAGATTATTAATGACTAAAAATAATTTTCCTTGAAAATTGAAGATTTAATAACTTAGTTTTTAGTGCCAGTCTTGTAACTGGAATAATCAGAGAAACCATTTAATATTGGTTGCTTTAATACTTTTTAAATGGCTTCATCAATTTACCAGCCCTCTGCTAGCTTGATTAATTTCCACGAATTTAGATTTAATTAAAAAATGTTTTTTTTTTTGGTTGTTTAAAAAGTTTGATCTTTGAAATATGATAAGGACACTCACTTTCCCAATTTGGGATTTGATTAATACAGAATGAGCCTGAAATCCACTGATCGAAGTACATTTTACAGAATCAATTACCCTTAGGTAATTTAGTATTTAAAGCATGTTCCCTTTTCTGTGAAATACATAGAATATACCTACGTGAAAGTAAATTTATGCGACAGTATTTTGGCTGGAATTAAGGTGTCATAAAATTTTCATAAAGCATTTCCCATTTTTCTTTTATTGTAATGTCATGGGAACAGTAGTGCCCTAGTTAGCCGCACTATTAAGCTAGTACCATTAAGTATTCTGTGACTACGCTTTCTAGGCGGGGCGTGGTGGCTGAATACTTAATTGAACCAATACAGGGCACACGAGGTGCAAACACGCGATCGGTAGTAATTACTTTCATTAATGGACAAATGTATTAGATTACCGGATAATTTTTATTTACAATATGAATGATAATAAGGCTTTGGCGTGGCGTGATAATGATAGAAACAATGTGATTGTCGCGTCGTGCACTACTTATAGATAAGTATGAAACATGGTATCTTCTCGGTTGATTCAAGCTTCATTTATTCAAAATTGAGGATAGCTACTTACACAAATAAAATGGAGATAGACACAAAATTATTCACTTTTAAAAACTACAATTTATTAATGATTTCAGTTTAATTTTAAAGGCATCATTAAAGGAATTCACGCGATACTTACTGAAAGGTTACTGGTCAGTGAATCGTGCACAAGCGTAATTACTTTAATGCGGCATTCGTGTGTTTTTACAAAAACGTTTAGTCTCTTTATAATTGGTTCTGATCCTCAGTCTTATAGATTTTGATGTAATTTTCGTGGAATCTTTAATACATTCTGGGATCATTTGGCTAATGATTCATAGGGTATTGACCATTGAATATACATAGGGTATTGACGTAAAGAGACTGAGCATTAATTTCATAGCGCTCTCTATAACACACTGCGCACCATTGAGGTTTCTTGAGAGACCTCGTTTCAGTTATGGAACTCTCTCTAGAAACCCTTTATTTTTGGAACCCTTTATTATATCCACAAAACTTGGACAAAAAATGTTAACTAAAATGTTTTACTGTCGGAAGAAGTGTCCGCGACACTTTGGTAATTTTCGTTCATTTGTACGGCATGGGAATTGGACTTTTCCTACCCTTTCTTATTTAATTCGCGCTCCTAAAACTGATTAAACACGTTAGGGGTTTAGGAGGAGAGGTAAGAATAAATCGTTTTCATAACTTTACTTAAGCTTTGAGATGCCTGGAGGAGGCACACATATTTCAGAATAATGAATGCAATTCACAGCGAGTGAAAAACGGATACAGGACTGCTACTTATAACCGACTTCAAAAAAAGGAGATTCTCAATTCGAGTGTATTTTTTAGTACAGGTACTTAAGTATTTCCCCGAAATAGTTTTTTAGAACATGACTTCTTAAGAACTGCGTGTGTACACCTACACTTTTCTCCTCTGGATACGGCGGCAAGCTTAGCTAGACAATAATAGAAATCGATCCACTTGTTTCCCAATTCTTTCCTTATTTTGTTACTTTAAATGTATTTTAGAATGGTTAGGATATTGAAATCGGATTCTAACAGATTAAGACATGCATTAAACTGTGAAGTGCCATTTGTTATCTAAATTATGTGGTAGTTTTATTGCGTTATTTACTGCAGCTAGAGTTCTTTACAATAAACGAGTTGTAAGAACGACAATAGAAAATTGTATTATACATGGTTTGAGTTAATAGCCTATTGTAGTAGTGGAATTTATTTACTAGTTTCAATTATTGTTTCCAATAGCTGTGTACTATACTGATCGAAACAATGCGAAAATCTGATAGTCAAAGATGTTGGAGAGGCAATCTTACCTAGATTTAATAACGGTTTCTTTTCAAAAGGTTTAAAGTATCAATTGAAACGCTATCAAACATTTCTCTGACATTTGATGCTTGTAGAAAATACAATCCAAATAACAAGTAAAATCTTGGTTCAATTAATGAGGCGTATTAGATAATAATAAGTATTTTGCGTGTAAAATAACAATGATTTTGTATGTAAAATAAATGATGAACTGAACAAACATGAAAAAAAATACATTGAATTTTTGAACAACGAAGTAGGTACCTACTCAATCATATGTTTTGATAAAATTGTTGGAGCAAAAGAGAAAGTTTTTATCAGGTCATATGGAGCATTCGGACGCGTGCAAACCACAAAAGTGAACCATTGGGGAAAACCCTTAATCAGAAGTAGAATTACGAGTAGGATATTGTATGTTGTTAAAATGACGAAATGAGTCAGTCACGTGTTCAATGGTCAAGCATTGTTTACTAACATGGAAAGTCCCAATTTTAATAAAATTAACTTAAGGAGTTATAATATTTATAATGCAAATAATGCTAGAAAAAAATCTTGTGAGTAAGGGTCTCAATCAATTTCTATTATTGACTATAGAAACGCCTATCCAAGGCCAAGTGCTAACAATATTGGTCTCTTAGCTTTGGGTACGAACGGTTCCTCTGATGAAGAAATTATTTTATGCTAAACAATATAAATTGGATTTGCGTCATCATGTCTATGACAGCTTAAATTTATTTGCCGTCGGGGATTAAACAGTCGATGCTAGATGATGTCATAATAAATTATTATAATTTGACACTTGCTTTTCAACTTACTAGAAGTTATAATCATATCCACAAATACATAAAGAGCCTATCTACATACGTAGACCATTTTTGCGAATGGCTCATTTAAATTTGTATTACGGAAACTAGACATTCTAAATATTAACTAAGAAAATAAAGGGTAATTACGGTATTAAATTAATAACTCATTTTGTCACTTACTTGTCCTGTAATAGTGAAAAGGATAGCAAGTAGGGCCCGTAGCGGCGTCCGCGCACGATACGCGCGGTGCGACCACAGCCGATGCACGCCTGCCGTGATGCCGAAGCCCGACGTGTATATTGTGGCAAATGCTGGAAAATTTGACAAAATTTAACTAGACAAAAGAACTGATGATATTAGGACTAGGTATGAGATCAAACCTACAAACGGGGCACTATTTAAAACACAGCAATTTTAAGCTATAAAAATTTAAATTGACAAATATTGATGCAACGCGCTAATGTTATTTAAACTTACAGAGAATTATTAATTATAGTTACTAATTATGATACTTTTGGAAAGAATCCGAAAAAGTGCATACTTTACAGACCACCATTAATAAAATTTATGTTGTGAAAATGAGCGCGAAAAATCCCACAATGAAAACAACTGACAGTCGAAATCGGGCAGAAGAAAAAGAAAAGTTTAAGCGGCCAGAAGCGCGACCAAGGAGTTTCGTTGCTTTAGTTAGACTCGGACATTGACATTTGAGTCTTTTTTCTTAAAGCCAGTCTTATTCGTTACCATTTGAAATAAATTATGTATAGATAGGGACTTTTTGGCGGAAGAATGAAGCGTCATGCGAGGCAAGTTTTATTTTCAAGGAATTTCGTTGAGCTGAACATACTATTTGAAACGTTAATTTGACACTGGCTAAATCTGCAAAATACACGAACCAAGGAAAAAGAGACACGCTGGCTGAAAATCTAATAATACCTACCTACCTAATAGTATCTAAGATAGCTTATTAGGATTAGCCATTTAAAGCTATCTGCAGTCTTTTACATAATTGAGTCTGTTAATAACGTGGTCTGTTAACAACTTTACAGAAATAATACCCAAACCTAATAAGATTGAGTTGTCAATTATTTGGAAGTTTACTTACGAACCAACAATATAGAAAAGTGTGTGGGTGGGACTCAACAATTCTCACTGTTGGTTTAGGTCGTAGACCAGGTCTGTGGATGACAGAAAATTCGATATCTATTCTAATTCGTGATCGCAAAGTTATCGAGTTACGCCAAAACTGTAGATTTATCGTAGTAGTGAACTATATATAACTGTAGATTTATTGTAAATTAGTTATGGATCACGATTAGCGACGTGTCTAAGTGTCAACTAGCAATAATATTGTTCGTGCTTTTACACTTAAAATCAGCTAGGCATAACTTTAGTATATTATGTGAATAAATTATATACCTAACAAAGAATATCGTACTGTAGTTTTCTTAGTTGTTGTTTAAATTTTACAAAAAAATACCCTCAAAACAAGGTTACATAAAATTAACGTATCGATTGATGCTTTTGAGATAAACAGAACGTAACATATTTGACAAAACTCAGCCTTTGAGAAAACGAATAAAATACACTACTTAAATTTAATAAGCTAGAAGAAACTTCTTACTAATCGTTTTAGTAAGGTAGTTAAGATAGTCGAAGTCAAAGCGTCTAGTGCTTAGGGAGGTAGAGCTAACTTTCATCATTACTCGAAACTTGCTAACGAGTTATTTAGGCTAGGCTTTTAGGCCTTCTCATCATAATTAATTTACTGGTTGTCTCATACGTCTGGGATCCTAAATTAATACAATTAATCTAAAATTAAACTCGTCTGCTGGACAATGTTTTTGAAAGGAAAATCCGAAACGAAATGTTAGCCAGGAATTAAACCTGGATTTAAAAAATACTTGCTCCGAAGTAATGACAAAATAAGATAAACTTTTAGACTTTTATACTCATTAAAATAATGGTTTAAAAACACTTACCAAATAATACTGTGAAGAATTTCACTTGGAAACTTAGAACCAGATAAAGTCCATATAATGACACTAAATGCAACGCTACTTGTACTATGAGATCTGGCCACTTTATCCTCGGCCTGAATTCCATCGCTTCATATTCACTAATATCGAAGTCTTCGTTTCGGAGTACTGGATCATCACCACTATTCACTTTATTTTCACTCTTATTATCACTGCCGTTAAGTCTTAATCTAATCTGAGGGTGGGCCTCCCCACAGATGGGAACGTCCTGCTGCGCTGGAGCCATTCTGTGGACAAAACAAAAGAATTTCAAATATTGTTTTTCTATTGTTTTCGGAATGTTGTAACTTTGAAGGAGTAAACATGGTTATGTTGTTACGTATTCGTTAATTTATGTTTAATTTCATAGTACAGTTTGAGTTTGGAATACGCTTTGTCAAACAGGGTCCCCACATCAAGAAGTTTTAGACGCGTTGTGTGTACTCGTAATAAGTTTAAGTCGGAAAATTCATCAAAAGTATATCACCAGTCCACGCATTATGAATTTTAATATAAGGCTGTATTAAAAGAGTAAAAGCAACTAGACAGTTTCTTTATTTTGAGATTTTAAACGTTTATTTTAGGAATATTTTTACCGAATGTTCGTTTTAATAAGAGTCTCTTGTATGTATGTTGACTGATCATTAATATTCAGTAGTTCGAACTAAGCTTTTCAAACCCCATCATTTATCAAGATGACAGGTATTGAGTACGAACCTAGTTCACTTCGTTGGGAACGTGTTACCGGGTTTTATGGCAAAATGATCTAGTTAGTCAAAGTTATATAAAATATAATAATAAAAAACTAGGACCACAAACAGGTATGCTTTGTACCAGAATACTGCAATTCACGTACTTTTTGTTACTTGATTGCTATAAAATAATATTTTATTTCATTTATTACGAGATAATGAATTTAAGTGGTGTTATTAGAGTAGCGGATACTGATATTATTTTAATTGCTAATTATTACCTGTAGGTATTCAAGAGCAGTTTTCCGAATGTTTTTTTTAAATATTTATAATTAATTACCACGATTAAAAAAACTAAACAGAATCCCAATTTTCTGTAGAGCTCGGTTAATTTTAGTATTAATTCAGTCTAAAAAGGCTTCTGAGAATGAATTCTAAACTACACAGGTGTTTTTCCTCTAGACGACAACTTTTAAAATGAAATCGTAAGTGGCCATGGTTGCGTTATGATAAGGTTGGGTTATTATCAGTTTAAGTTGACACAGGTGGTCAAACCCAGGGTGACTAAGTTGTTGTGGCGAACTAAGATATTAATGTAGTTTTTAGGATACGCTATCGGTATTGATATATTGTGTAAATACCCTAATAAGAGTAAGGCTGCATTTTGAATGTATTTTTATTTTGCTGAGTATTTTCGGTCTGAAACTCTATAGTAAAAAAATATAGTTATATTTCCAAGATGAACGGACAACTGCATTTATAAATCTAAATACTGCGTAGCAACGATGCATGCTAATAATAAATAGTGATGTATAATGTGTTAGTAATTTATTAATGAAACTTAAAAGTACCAAATGTACCTACGCTTCTTTAAGCAGTGATATATTAGTGTCTGGACATGTTATACTGATATTTCTGAAAATTAATCACTTTGTGGAGTCATCCTTAGATAATCGTAGAGGTAAAGGAAAGTGAGTTAATGTTAATCATTGACTCATATACAATAAATAGATAACAAAACACCTGCATGACAACATGCAAATAGGAAGTTGATTAGTTTTATACGCTGGGTAAAATATAAATAGATATTTAATGGCATGGTAACTATTTGTTAATGTAAGTCATATCTTAAATACCTAATAGTCCAGTAAAATTAGCTTTTAAATCGGAAATAATTCCTACAAAAGATTTTATTGTTTTAATGGCTTCATTGGTTGCCCATTAAGACTCTCCTAAGTTTTCGACTTCGACGGAGTTGTGCTTAAGTGGTGGGGGCCCCCGAAAGGGGCATTTTTTCGGTTTTCCGGTTATACCGCGTAAAGGACTTACCCTATCAAAAAGTGGTCTTCATGACGGTTGAAGGGCACTTAATCCTGCATTGAATAAGACCAAATTCATATGTTTTGGACAAACCGTTCTCGCGCTAAAGTTCGGCAAAGTAGAAAATATACGTATAATTAATGACCCTCTCCACGTCCAATGGCTTGTTACCCACATGCTTCCAAGCCTTGTAAAGGGTCGCCTTAACCAGTGTAACCCTAACAAGGCTCACGAGTTTGATTCGCTTATCCTTGTTCGTCCCAGCCGTTCCTTAACTGCGGTTGCTGCACCTCTTCCTGGCACTCACCTGAACGACTCTGTGTTACCTACTGTGGCTGCCCCTCTTCCTTGTATCCTCCTGCATGACTACGTTGCCTAGCCGTATGCCTGGTCTAAGGTTCGACGCCAAAAATCAACAACAACAAGTTCATATTAAAACGCTGAAGAGTTTTTTGTTTGTTTGTTTGAACGCGCTAATCTTAAGAATTACTAGTTTGATTGAAATCATTATTTTTGTGTTGAATAGCTCATACATTGAGGAAGGCTATAGGATATATACAATCACTCTACGACTAATAGAGGCGAAGCAGTAAAGAAAAATGTTGCAAGCACGGAAAATAGTATTTAAACTATTTTCACGCGTACAAAGTTGATTTTGTGGCGTCGAACCTTGGACCAGGCATATAGCTAAGCAATGCAATCGTACAGGAGGGTACAAGGAAGAGAGGCAGCCACATTAGGTAACACAGAGTCGTTCAGGAGAGTGTCAGGAAGAGGTGCAGCAACCGCAGTTAAGGAACGGCTGGGACGAACAAGGATAAGCGAATCAAACTCGTGAGCCTTGTTAGGGTTACACTGGTTAAGGCGACCCTTTACAAGGCTTGGAAGCATGTGGGTAACAAGCCATTGGACGTGGAGAGGGTCATTAATTATACGTATATTTTCTACTTTGCCGAACTTTAGCGCGAGAACGGTTTGTCCAAAAGAAATGAATTTGGTCTTAATCAATGCAGGATTAAGTGCCCTTTAACCGTTATGAAGACCACTTTTCGATAGGGTAAGTCCTTTACGCGGTATAACCGGAAAACCGAAAAAACGCCGCTTTCGGGGGCCCCCACCACTTAAGCACAACTCCGTCGAAGTCGAAAACTTAGGAGAGTCTTAATGGGCAACCAATGAAGCCATTAAAGCAAAAAAATCTTTTGTAGGAATTATTTCCGATTTAATCAATTTTTGTGTTTAATTCTACTGGCCTATAAGTAGTCTTAATATATTTCTTACTTAAGTACCTACTCTTAGGGACTCAAGAAATATTTCAATATTAGGTACTTAGTTTATAAACTGTTCTTACATCAATGATTAAATAAAGTTTTGTAAATACGTAAACCTAAAACACCAGCACAAAGTAGATAAGAAGGTTACTTACAGGATTTTGATTGACCTATTGTTGTTCATTTTTTTAAACCGACAGAATTTTACCCACGTTACCCACGTCTTGTATCTATCTAGACTAATGTGATTTAGCAAAACCTCCCAAACTTGTCTTAGTAACTCCAAGTCTTTAATCCGTATGTTTTATGAGGTAATAATATGCATAGATAACGCAAATTATGCACCTNAACGTTCAAAGTAAACTCATTTATCTGGTTTATATTCATTATACAGGTACATACTATATTATTCCATATCCTTTGGTTTCATAATCTCACAGATAGCAAAAGTAAACAGTGCCTCGACGATTCTCCGTATGATTTTTTTATGAACTTGAACGGTTGCAGGCAAAATGTGGAAAGAAAATGATTTAATGCCAGGTTTCGATTTCCATATACTTACAAGATGAATTTTCAAAAGTGTATCGGTCAAGCATGAAAGTACTTGGGTAGTTTAAATTTATGAAATAGTAATAATCGGAGAACTCGGAGTCGTTTTTGGTAGAAACTAAAATGAAATCTCTGGATTTTTTAAAAATAAATATTCTACCGGAATTATTGAAATTATATTATAAACACACTATGTTTCATTACAGAATTCAATAGTGTCGCTTATAGGATTAAATTCTGTGAAATAATATTCATAATGAAATAGTTACGAACACTTGACAAATAATTATTAATACATTTTACCCTATCCCAGGATTTCCCCTTATATTCCTAGAAATGGTCCTATTAAGAAGTACTTGAGCCCAAACGGTGGTGTTTCGTAATACCTAAACGATTTTTTTTAAATGACTGCCTTTTACAGCTTCCTTCTGGCATGGCTTCTGGGCACAATTTTTATAAATAATGATAATACCAGGAAAGAGTTATAAGTTAAAACAGAACGGAGATAGACGCCTGCCTGAATATTCTCTCCATAATACTAGGAACTGTGTTACTGCTGGAAAGTTGTGTTTTTAATGCGTAGAGGTTAATAAAGGTTTGAATAAAAGCACACAGATTTGTAAGTACTAAAGATAGCTTACAAATAAAGACATTTTTTTCTTAGACTTTTATTTGGACAGCAAAATGTTAAAGTAACCACCTGATGAATTGGATAAAATGCTACAAGAGCTTACAGACGAGCGACTGACTAATTTGCCAGTGGTTACTTGTCTTGTCACACTGATCATTTTCTAATATCGATGCGATGTTGTTGACATTTTCGTTAGCTGTCACTAATGAACTAACGCTTGTCTGCTGTAAGCTTCTGGGGAAGCCTTTGTTTACCTACCAGTCGTTATAACGCTTAGATTAATAAAACCTAGATGGACAGTCTTCATACAAACGCTTCGTCAAGAGTGAGGCAAAAATCTTATGTCATTAGTGTCAATTTTGTTGGGGAGTGTAGACAGTGAAGGCGATTTTCCCGAAAGTAGGGAAATTTTTAATACGTTTTTAATTATTTTATAACTAACAAAAACAAAACGCATCATGTACTTACTTATTTATTGAATTCAAAGTACCTACCTAATTACAATAAGATAAATCGACAAAAGTCTCGATTTCATAAAAAAGGAAGTGTATTTGTACGGCGAACAATTGGGAAATAAATTTTCTTGTTACTGGTATCATTCCCGTATTTAATTTTTGAAAGCCAAATTCAAGCAAAATACGCGTCGAATCGTAGTACCTACTTACTTATGAAATGTAACACTGGTCACTTTCTTTAGTTTTTCTGATGTATTTAGACACCCTTTCACAGCACAAACCGTCTTAATTAATTAAAAGTCGTCGGACGTGTTTACCAATTTTTCACTT